GCCATCCTCCCTCCTGCCCTTCACCGGGCTCCTGTACCGGCCGAGCCCAGGCGTCACCCGGGGCGGCGGGGCCGTCTGTTCTCGCGAGGCTTCAGAGAGGCGCGAGATCGCCGGTGCGCATGCGTGGGGCGGGGCTGCTAGCCGGGACGCGACCGCGTCTCCGTGATGGGCCCGTCCGCGCCGGGAGCGGTCCGCCGGCTGTGTGGTCGGGGGCCGACCCTCTCCCCGCCTTACTGCCGCTCTCGCTGCCACCGCGGGGAGAAAGGAACCGAGCAGCCTTTCACCGCGTCTCGCCAAAGGGCGCGGTAAGGCTCGGCAGAGGAAGACCGGGCCGAGTGACGCTGGAAGCGGGCAGGGCGGGAATCGCCAGGCCCTGCAGCCCCCGCCGCGGGTGTTCGGCGTTCACGGCTCCGTTGGCAGCGCACGGGCTACAAATCAAAACGGTTTATTCGGCTTCACGGCATAAAATACAAACGTTAATAATGTCTTGAAATGCATAATACACGTTCTGCACGTAAAACAAAGGCGCATGCAAAACCACCTCTTAAAAAAACCACGTCGTCTACCTAAAATACAAGCACTTGAAAAGGCAGGAGTTGCTCGTAGTGTCGCCTGGTAAGGGTGCAGACTAGAAAGCACACTTGGTGCTGGGGAAAGATGCCCCTGACGCGGGAACTCCACACCTTCCCTGTGCGTTTCAGTGGGGGTAACTTAAGTTTCTCTGCAAAGGCAGTCGAGAGGGGTAAGACTGGGAGTCACCCAGCTCCAAAGTATTAATGCTGTAGCTATTGTAACAGAAAATGTCTGATCTTGGTCATGGATGTCCACCAAATGGCTGGCAGTGGTCATGGGTAAAATCTTTTATCACTAGGACCTGGATTCAGTGGAAAACATCACAGTTGTTTATAAAAAGATAAACGTACAGAAATAAAACAATACATTATACGCCTGAATCTGAAATCTCAGCCTCAGAAAAATGGAAGGATTTAATCAACTATTTTAACAGGATTGGGAGCCATCTTTGGCACAGCTTACAAAGGCTATGTCAATCTCCCTCCCTCTTTCAGTCTTCAATTTCTTTTAAATTCAAGCAGTCTGATTCAAACAAAACATTTTTCTCTCATTGCTTTTGCGTCATTATGCTAAAGAAAACTCTTAGAAAAGGATTTGACTTAAGTACTTTTAAGAAAAGTTGCCATTCAGCTTTCGTGTTCAGCTCCCCCTTTGCTAAGGAACCGGTTTTGTTCTGCCCAGACGTTTTCTATTTTTAAAAAATAATAAGGGAAGCGAAGGCAGAAGGTGAAACAGTCCAAACCTGAATGACCAGAGAAAAAACAGCGTGTGGCAATCAGTCTCATTTTGCTGTAGGGGACAATGAAAACTCTCTGCTTTTCCTGTTAACGATCTCTTGCCTGCAGACAGAAAGAGAGGATGCTCCATTAGCCAGATGCATGTGCAATCTCAGGAAGCTGAAATGCTGACCTTCTGTCTGGGGGCTGCTTCAAAGGTGCCGCCAGCACAAGTGGTCCTCAGCCAAGCTGGTTTGATAGCCTCCATCTCAGAAGAGGTGGTGGATCACCCAGGTGCTTCCTGCCTAATGAAGCAAGCGGCGGTGGTCATTAAGAAACCGTACATCGGTACAAATTTGAGCTGGCTCCAATTATGGCTGTTTTTACTCCCAAAAGGTGCCATCCCTAATATACGAGTGAGATGGTGAGGAAGCCCTGACCAAGCGCATCCAAAGTCAGGCAGCGCTTTGGAGACCTAGGAAAGGCCCAGGCATGGACAGCTGGGCCGAGCACAAATACTGTTCAGGATTCAGCCATTTTCTTTTCAGCGCTGGCTGCAGAATAAAACACAAAATTACTCCAAATGCGATCGACAGAAAGCGGAGCGCAGCTCCTCATTTGCAGGATTTAGGGTTTAGTTGGGATATGTACTAACGCAAAGGCAGGTAGCGTGCAAATTGTGCCATTTGAATGGTGCAGATTAAAGCATTAAATATAAGCTCTTTAGTAGTGTTACTAGCACAATCCTGGCTTATTAAAACAAACTAAGCTGCTTAAAAGTGAAACTGCCCTTAAATGAATAATACTGTTTCAGTTCCAGTTCTGTCAGAACTGGCTTTGTTAATTTATTTTCCCTTTCAAGTCACTCCCAATTCTTGGGTCTCATGTAGGAACTGCCATTACATTTTGATTTATTTTGGACGTTAAATCTTTACCACCAAACTGCCTTATTTAAGTCTCAGACATCAAGAATATTCTTCTCTCTGTATTACATTTAAAAAAAACCCCACACCACCACAGAAAAATGCTCGCCAAGTCTGACCCTGGCCCCAAAATACCCACGCTCAGAACAAGGAGGCACCAGGTAGTGCCATTCCCTGATGCTGCTGCTCTGCCATGGGGAAGGGGACAGATTTCCAGCCAGGAACACTGCACCACTGAACAATTTAAGCAGCAGGTAGGGAGGCAGAACTGGCCCGTTAAGTCCAGCCAGCTGGACTACTGACGGAGCCTGAGCAGTAGCCTGTGGCCACCTGCTCCTGTTTTTTCTGAACTGTTTTCACTTAAAAGGCAGAACAAAAATAATCCTCCCAAACCCAAAGATCCTTACTGTGAAGAAACACAGGCATGAACTGGAGAGGACTGGATTGCATCACTCGTATGTGAAGGTTACACTCCCACTGCCCAAAGTCATGTTTGTAAGATCTGATTTAAGATCTGATTTCCTCTGATATACCATCGAGCCATAATTAGGCAGGAGGCTGGAAGCTCATCATCCAAACCTACCAGAGATATATTTTCAAAGGCACCAAGAGTTAATGGAAGTCATTTGATTTCCGCATTGGCAATCTCTACTGGCTACTGCAAAGTATTAAGCTGAGTGTGTTTAACTCCAGAAAGGCAAATAGGTTCCTATCAGTTGTGACCTGGATTGGCCTGTTGCTTTCCTAGCAAGGCTCCTTAATAAAACAGGGCAATAAAACCAGGTTTAACACTCTTAGATAGGAAGCACAAGCGTATTTTTTTCTGCTCTGAAAAACCACTCTTGCCAAGAGGGTACAGGAGGAGATTTATAAACCCCATCTCCAGGGTGTTCCCGTCCCTGGACTCAGCACCGACCTACTTGTACCGTCTGCCTTGTGGCCAAGGTTTCTGACCTACTGAAGGACAAGTCTGTTTCTGTAGTGAGGCGACAGGCGTGCCTCCCCGCAGCCCTCCTCACCTGCTGGGAGGATGGGACGTGCTACGGAGATCAGCTGAGTGATGCCGACATGAAATCAGAGGGAAGCACTGGCTTTGGTAGAAAGCATCGATGTGGCTTTGATGCTGGAGAGGCAAGCCCAGACACTGCTGACACGCAGTCTGTGCTACCTGTAACTCACTCCCACACCTTCACTTAGCTCCTGAGACCAGCCCTCTCCTCCTCCCTGCTCCTCCGCAGCCTCTCCTCCGACTGCACAGCTCTGCCAGGAGCTGGGCAGAGCCACAGCAGCGAGAGGCCCTGCAAGAGTGCGGCTCTGGACACTGCCTCGGGCAAGCTGCCCCAGGAGCCAGCTGAGCCCTGTATGGCACTTTGCAGGAGCTATGGTCTCCACAGGGGCTGAAAAATACACCCCTGGCCAGGCAAAGAGGCTTTAGCATCCATTTTGGAACAGGGAAGGCTTGACCGGAGATATTAACAGGCTTGGCTGCTGCTCAATGGAGTCCAGATCAGCCCTGGGGAGCTCCTGGTCCTCGCTGTTGCTTCAGACCAGGCTCGGTGTCTCCATTCCAGCCTTGCTCAGGTGCTCAAAGAGACAGATGCACCCCAAGAAATCCACATCCCAAGGGATTTAGCAGGGAGGAGGGTTGGTGCAGATGAAAGTAAAAAGAACTGATGACACAAGAACCCAGTCCTTGGTGTCCTGAGTGCCGGGCCAGCCACAGCCACGGTGGCTCACTGATGTCCTGTGGTGAGGGAGGCACAAAGGTGGCGGCACCCACCAGGGCCAGTGGCCCATCTCAGGCATTTCGTAAGATCCCAGCCTTATCTGCAGCGAAACAGCAAAGGCAGAAGGACTTCGGCACAAGACCACAGACAATAATAAACGCTGAACTGTGCAAACTTCCACACTGAGAAACAAAACCAAAGTGGTGAAGGAGAGGCAGAAAATGAAGCACCCAGAGCATCCACTATGCCAGGATGGCAAGCAGCCAAGCTTGCGGGTGAGGTTTGTTGCATACGTGCCGATTTGGGCCCCCTCCACACCTCGTATCACCAGCGGAGGAGAGTTCAAAGGCAGCTTCTCTGGGAGTACACACTCTCCAGCTGCATAAAGCCTCATGGAAATGAAATGTGAGGTTTGGGGAAGACCTCAGTCTCTCCCGCACACCCCGTGAAGCACACACACTGCACACTCAGCCACCGACCAGGGCAGGGGGCAAGCAGCGTCCCTCGCTTTGCTCTTCTAAGGTGGGAGAGAGGCTGCCAGGCATCAGCTGGCCAGCAGCT